AGTTCCTGTACAGTTAGTAATTACCTCCGTTTGTAAAAAGAGAGTTATAGAAGAGTTTACTGTTACAACTAGAAAAAAAAAGTTATTCAACAGTTTGACGATAGAACTAGTAAAAATAGTATACGGCATTTCGCTGATGGATCAAGTTAAAGAAAAAAATGATATCTTAACCAACTGTTTGTTTCGGATATTCACGCAAAGTTCCATAAGGGCTGTCTGTGCAAGCCGTCCCTACTGTCAAAGTGATAGACAAGAGGAAAGACAGATAGTTGACAGTATCCACTACCAACTCGTGGGCTACTGTAATCGAATAATGAGATTTGACGTCACTCTTATAACGCACCCACGGCCCACAGCTATAAGTAATTTTTTGTGAATTAAACTAATGATTGAGACAAAATATATCACTTATGTGATATTCTTCATTTCAATCTCGAATTCTGAGTTGCGATTAAAAGTTATTAAGGCCTTACATTTGAAATGTGTAACGTGATTTAAAAGGCTTAACTGGATTTAGCATGTCATTTACGTGTTTATAACGTAATATAAGCAGAAATGTATTCTTGATCATTTCATTCAAATTTAAATGTAAAAAATCAACGAAGAGAATTTAATCAAAAATGACTAGGCTTTCTTTCAGCCATAGTGAAGTTGAAAGCTCTACACAGATTGCTTGTGACGTACGTTCTGCCAGTAAGTGAAGAGGGAGAAGCCACGTGCACTAGGTGTACAGTTCTGAATGAGTCACATTCCTAGTTAATGAAGACTCAGTGGCTATAAATATCATAGCTCAGTTTGGAAAGCATCCCGCGGATATGCTGGTGGAGATATTTTCCAAGCTACTTTCTCCTCCGCAGCACCTCCACATCTTGTAGGGAATGAGGTTGAAATATAGGACATTCATACCATAACAAACACTGCATATATAGGGAAGTATGACAAATATGTAGAACTGTCAGTTTCAGTGTTGATGTGACTTGTCTTTTCGTGAGGCAGATACCTCCTGTTTCCTAGCACTCTGAAACTGAATTCACTCACTCAAAACGAGCCCAGACTTACAAGCGATGGATCGAACACCACAAAGCGGATAGATACGCCGACTGAGTAGGGTAAGTATAAGTTGAGAGTAAATTCTAAATCGTATTATGTTCTCTAATTTCAAAGTTAAAATGTGAAAGTGCAATCGAAGTAATATTAATAAACATACTAATGTCTACAGGCCTAACTTTAGAGAAACTAGTCACACTGTACGGTGGTAATTACTAACTGTACAGGAACTAGTCACAGTGTACGGAGGTAATTACTAACTGTACATGAACTAGTAACAGTGTACGGAGGTATTTACTAACTGTACATGAACTAGTAACAGTGTACGAAGGTAATTACTAACTGTACAGGAACTAGTCATACTGTGCGGTGGTAAATACTAACTTACAGGAACTAGTAAGAGTGTACGGAGGTAATTACTAACTATAGAGGAACTAGTCACACTGTACGGTGGTAAATACTAACTTACAGGAACTAGTCACAGTGTACGGAGGTTATTACTAACTGTACAGGAACTAGTCATACTGTGCGGTGGTAATTACTAACTATAGAGGAACTAGTCATACTGTGCGGTGGTAAATACTAACTTACAGGAACTAGTCAGAGTGTACGGAGGTTATTACTAACTGTACAGGAACTAGTCACAGTGTACGGAGGTAATTACTAACTATAAAGGAACTAGTCATTGTGTACAGTGGTAATTACTAACTATAGAGGAACTAGTCACATTGTACGGTGGTAATTACTAACTGTAGAGGAACTAGTCACAGTGTACGGAGGTAATTACTAACTGTAGAGGAACTAGTCACTGTATACGGTGGTAATTACTAACTATAGAGGAACTAGTCATACTGTGCGGTGGTAATTACTAACTGTACATGAACTAGTCACAGTGTACGGAGGTAATTACTAACTATAAAGGAACAAGTCACAGTGTACGGAGGTAATTACTAACTGTAGAGGAACTAGTCACTGTATACGGTGGTAATTACTAATTATAGAGGAACTAGTCACTGTGTACGGTGGTAATTACTAACTATAGAGGAACTAGTCACATTGTATTCAACAGTTCACTACTAGAAGAGAGTTATAGAAGAGTTTGCTGTTACAACTAGAAAAAAAGTTTTTTTACG